ATATTATATTATATTATATTATATTATATTATATTATATTATATTATATTGAAATATTTGAAATTTTTATCATAAAGAAAGTTTATAAGACAAATTTTCGGAACCTAATAATTAAAATCTTTTAATCTTAGTCTTGTAATATTTTTTCAGCTTTCATAATGAGCCAATTTCTTTAATGAATTTTTCAAGAAAATGCAATTTAAGTGCTAAAATAAGATAAATTTATCGTTTTTCAATATAATCTGTGATGCTCCTTTATAATTGTAAACAAACCTTTTAAAATCCCGTAAAATTATCGAAAAAATAGAGAAGAATTAAAAAATATTGAAATAGTTGACTTAATGTTCAGAAAATTCATTGTGATTAATTGTTTAAAGACGAAAAAAAATAATTTTTTTGCTAAAAAAGAAAATTTTCTCGTTATTTTTCAGTTTACCAATTTTTATTACTTCTTAAATGGCCTTTTTCGTCAAATTCTTATTTTATTTCATTGCTAAAATTAAAAATTTTTTGTAAAAAAATGAATGAAACTCTCGATAATATGGAAATTCTTAGAAATGGAGACAAACATTTTTCATTTCTTCCTTCTCTGAACGTGCAAATCGTGGTAATGAAAATGAAAATGATAAAAAGGAATTTTTGTGTTTAAATTCTTGTGTTGAGTTCTTGTATCAATATTTTATCATAATTTCATTTAAAAAACTCGATACAAAATGTTTGACCATTTACGCTAAAGTTTCCTCCATTGTCTAGGTGATGACTTGGCGAAAAAGTATATAGCACCATTTTAATTTTTTTTAACTATAGGCTTAATATTACGAATGGAGCTTGAACCTTAATGCTCGAGATGATTTGTATGAAAAGGCTTGGCTATTTTGTCTCCTAATTTATTTGAAAAAGTCGATGAAAACTTCGATGAAGTCGAAGAAACCTTTTATGCATATAAAATCAAATAATTTTGTTCAGTGCAGAACCAAATTAAATAATAGCTCGATATTTGCTAAAATAGAATTAATTTTCTAAATTTTTTAATTTCTTAATATTTTTAAAATTTGAATTTCGAAGCGATTCGAAGCGAAAATGAATTTTATTAAATTTGTAATATTTAATAATTAAATTTAAATTTTAGAAAAATGAAAAAACTTTAAATTTTTAGAGAACAAATTTTTCCAAATTGCCTGAATGAAAATAGTGTCGAAACAATTCAACCAATGATGCAAGTATTTGCCTGTAAGCAAATTTCATATTTTTTGTATGGTTTCACAGTTTTTGATTTGATATTTTTCATAGTTGAAAGAAAATTTCTTTTGCAAACTATTAAAATTACAAACGAAAACAATAGATAAAAACATCAAATCAAAAACTGTGAATGGTGGTTAGAATTGTAATACAGGATAAACGAGCGATTGCTTATTATCATTTCGAACATTGAAGATTCAGACCTCACCTCAGGCAGATGCAAGAGTGAGACTGCCATTAAAAAGTCTAAGATGCAGATTAACCTATCCCCATGTAATTCTACTCATCACATGAATCCCTGGCAAAAAATCTCCTACTTGACAAATAATCAGTAAAGCGTGCTAGATAGTGCGCGGTCCATATTTAAACGTAGAAATAAATGTCTTTCTCAAATGAAGACGAGAATATTTTGAATTTAAATTTTCCACTCTTAATTATTGTAAAATTCTAATTAATCAAGCTTTATTAATAAAATCTACTCGTTTATTTTTAAATTTCTTGTTCATGTAAATAATACAGTAGATTAAGAAAAAAATCCACTACCGATTGCATGCAACTTATTAAGTTATTACTTATTACTTTATACTTTATATATTATAATATGCTAAACAGTTAATAGGAATTTAACAGACAAAAATACATCAAAAAACTTTTTTTAGATCTTTTTGTTGAAGCAAAAAAATGATAAACAATTTAATCATTTTAGATTATGGAACTCATTCCATCATTAAATTGAGAAAAGTTTTATTCGAAGTATGAAAAGTTATTTCTATTTTCAAATAGAAAAAAATCAACCATTCCGCGGGGAAAATATTTTTTAAAATTAATTAAAGATTTTTGATTTTATAACAACAATAATGGGAAAATATTGGGCAAAAAAATTTCCTTGCAAAAAAACAATAAATAAAAAATTACGCAAAATATGTGAGAAACGCCCATGTTTGCACTTTACAGGCACGAATTTTAATCACATTTATTGATAAAAACTGGCTAATACAAATGATAAATATTATAGAATTTTTAGAGATTTCAACACGAAGTGCATGAAAAGTGCAATAATGACAATTGGTGTATGGTCACATCGTCATTGCCCTTCGCCCTTCTGAAATCGTATTATTATTATTATTATTATCATCATCATCACCATCATCATTATCATCATTAACAATAGCATCCTTCCATCTTCCATCATAATTGTGGTCGTTTATTCGTTAAAACCTGCTGTATCGTTGCACTTCGATCACCTTCTCGTTTATTTTTATGATGTTCCATAAGATTTCTCCTGAACATTTAGCACCTACAGCTTCAATATCATCATCACCTATATTACCATCAACTTCATCACCATCTAATCAACTCTTATTTGCTATATTAAACGATTCATCATCGAATTCAACGAATAATTATGAACAAAGAACTAATTCATTTAAAAAGCGAAATATACAAGAAGGAGGGTCGTCATCTTCATCTTCCTCTGTATCCTCATCATCGATTCATTATAATCCATATATTGTACCACCGATGAGGAATAAATATGATCTTCGTTCAACAGCACCTGTTTTGTATGATTTGTTATCAGAAGAAAGCGATATTATTGATAATAAAACGGATTTCAATAATGATTATTCAAATTCATCTATTTTATCTAATTCTTCTTATAATGCATTCCCTCTACTAACACCATTTGATCAATTATCAATGGCATATTTTACTGAATTTATAAATCAAAATTATATACCAAATGTTTTAAAAACATTTCCTATGCAAACATATACGGAAAATACTAAAATAATTATACCGCAAACTACTTCTAGTGTCGAGGTTATTATTATTAATAATTTTTTATTAATTTTACTATTAATAATATCTTCACTATTATTGTTTTTTTCATTTTTGAAATTCTAGAAAAATTGAAAGAAACAAATTTTTTTGCGGATTATTTAAAGGTAGAAATATATTAGATTAGCTATTTCAAGATTAATTTAAAAAATTTCTTATTTTTAATTTGAAAATTCCTTTAGATCCCTATGACTTTAACTTTACTTTATACTTTAACATACTATCATACCCCGTTGTACCCTATTGTTATTTACCCATTAATATCCCAGGAAATATGATAGTTTTGTGAAAAAACCTGTGAACTCCATTAAATTTTAAAAATTTCGGTCAAACAAGCTTTTTTTCATAATTTTTGTTCTTAATTATGAAGAAATTTTCGAAAAGATTTGTAACAATTGGAAATCTTAAATCAATATGTAATTTGAATCCTCTTAATACATATTTGATAAAAAATAGAGACAAAAAATGGAAAAGCAAGATAATTCTCTCATTTAATTCTCATTGAATCGATAAAGCAATTGGAGAAAGAAATGAAAAAATTTGGAATAAAAATTAAAACATAGTTTTTAAAAAATAAGCCTGTTTTTATTAACAATTTTTTCCTTTCGAAATATAAAAAACACGTTTCATTCAAGGTGAATTTTTTCTCAAAAAATCATTCTTATTATTTTTATTATTCTTATTATTCTTATTATTTGCTTTCATTTTTTCGGTTTTCTTTATCAAATTTGCAAATTTTGTAATTTTTTGGATCAGATTTTATAATTCGTCTTTTGTCATTCACTTAGCAATCATGCAATTAAGTTTTTGGGGAAGTGTGGCGGAGTGATGGTTGTTCAGACTCGTGTAGGTTCGGAGAGCTCATTATTCAAACATCCGGGTGTTGCTGAAGACCCACTGTATTCATAACCCTAAATGATTTCCCAGCAAAAAATTTTTAACAGCACTAATAACCAGTGGAATAAGATCATCTAAAATGTATTAACCATTTACTTTTTTTTACTTATTAATTTTTTTATTTGCCTGTTTTTGTTTTCCGAAAATTTTTAAAAATAGAAATTTTATAGAATATAAAAAAATTTTTATATTAAAGCTTTGTAATGATTTTTATGGAATTCTTAAAAAAATTTTTTCATTACAAATCGAAGAAAATATTTTTCATCGAAGAAAATATTTTTGTTTCTTTTTATTATTTGGAATTAATTTAAATTAAATTAAATTAAATTAAATTAGTGTGACTCGATTCTTTAGAATTATTATAATTCCATTTTCTTAAATTTATCCATTAAATGGTTTTTAAGAATTTTTATAGTCATTAATAATTCATTTTAGATTTCAAACCATATTATTCATTTAAAATTTTGCGAAAAAAAAACCTATATTATTATTAATCAGTGTTATCAGTTCTGTTTTTCTTTTCTTTTTTATCAACATAAAGACATAAGAGGTATGAAAAATGGGAGATCTGGTAGTTGGTGATATTGTTATAATTGTGGTAAAGCATACTAATGAATAGGTGGGAAAATTTTTTAAACGCGAACTTTAACTTTAACAGAGAATAAAAAAAATCTAAAATGTTTTTGCAGTTTGGATACACTTCGAACCTAACAATATTTTTTAATCAAAATATTTATTTCCTCAAAAACTTGCTGATGAATGAAAATTTTTGTTTTATTTCTAATTAAAATGGCTAGATGAATTTAAAAAAATCAATTTTTAATGAATTACCAAGTTTATACTATTAGTTTATACTTTCTGTTCTTACCCGGTAGTTTTCGTGTTTCATTGGCTTCATTGACTAAGAAAATCATTTGATGAAATGTAGATGTTTATTGATAAAAATGTATCAAATCGATGGTGCTTGACCCCAGTCGAACCAATTTATCTCTCCAATCTGTCACATGTTGGCATTATGATAGTTTTACATCGATTTTGAAACAACAATTTTTTTTTCAGTATTTTGATTCTTTATTATAGATTCTTATTATTATTACAATCCTAACAATTATGGCGTCATTCGAGAAAATTTTGCTATAGGGTTCGATGATTTTTGTCTGAGTAGCTAAGAATTTGCGATAAACTTAACTAATTTTAATTCATTTAAAAACCATAGATTTAATTTCCTGAGAAATATCTTCAATATTTTATACGTGCTAAACTAGTTGTACATTAAGAGGATTTTAAATATAGTTTGGCCTGAAAGGCGTATTGATTGTATTGCATCAATGATGTTTCAAGCATTACTCATTCTAAAATTAATTAAATTACCAGCCAAATTATAAGAAAATACAATAAAAAAACAATAGTTTAATAGAAAGACCAATAGATTAGTGTAGAAATATGAAATATGATTTTCTTCTTTGTAAAGGTGCGTGATTTCGATAGAATTTTCGCCAGAATAATGTTTCCTTTTCAAATCGTTTTCAGTAGGATATCGTTTAAATATCGTAAAATTGTTTCTTGATGAGAACGTGAACTTGGTTAAATATGACAATTGAAGTTAAAAGTTGATTTAGGTATGAAAAATTCGCTCCAAAAAAATAGTGGATTGATAAAAAATTAATTTGCATGGAAATTGTCAAAAAACAATTAATAAGGTCCTTAATTAAACTAATGCGTTGATTAATTCATTGAGAATTGAAAAAATTTTTACATTTAGCTTTGATCGAAAAATATCTAGAGGTTTATTGGAACACTCCATAAAATTTTTTCGCGAAATTTTTCAGGAAAGTTTGCTAGATATTTTTTACGTATTGTTCCTCTACTGCTTATCATTAATTGAGCATTATCCACCTTTTTTCAAGATGTGGTAAATGCGGTTTTTTCATAAAATTTTTGAACCATTGTTTTCGAGATTTAAGGAATATTTCCATAAGCAATCGTAAGAAAACCTATTTTAAACCTCAGAGTTGTTATAGTTTTGCTTTGATGGCAACCTCAGAGTGGCATAAATGCAATCAAATTATTAATCCATTTAACTAATACATATATATTTTTTATTGTATATTATATATTACATATTAATCACATATTTTTCTTTTATTTTTTGCGGTTCCATAAACATCTTATTACGCATCAAATGTACCTAACTCAGCTTATTGATTGCTTTTCTTTTTCGATTAGATTTTTATCAAAAATATATCTTTAAGACTTGTTTTTTCCCTTATCATTAAATTACCCTGGTATAATTCATAAAATATTCTAGTTTTGCACACGAAAAGATAAAAAAATGCATTAATCCAAAATTGAGAAATTATGCGAGATTTATAGAAATAGCATTTAAAAAAATTTTATAGATTTTAGATTTATCGATCAATTCTATTCAATTCAATCCTCTAAAAAACACAGAAAATTCGGAAATGATACAGTAAAATTTCCAGTTCTTGAATAAAAATGAATAAACTTCGTCAGGGAAATTTTATGGAAATCTTATCCATCAACGGAATAATCAATTATCCATAGAATTTTTAATTGATCAGTGCAATGGTTTTACTAAATTATATTTTTAAGAAATTCAATTTTACACTTATTGAAAAAATTAAAACATTTTACGAACTACTACTAAAATTATTGGTTAAAAATCTAAATTTAAATAATTAATGGAATTCAATTTTTAAATGAAAACAGTACTCTTTTTCCCATAGTATTTTTTGATAACTTGATCAGTTATCAGTCACAGATTATCATTGTTTTTTCTTGGTCATTTAACAATGAAATTGAAAACCACGAAGATGAGTGGATGAAAATCGGAAAAAAAACCCCGATAAAAAGGTGAAAAATTATGAAATAAAGTTTCAAATATGAGGAATTTATCAGAATATTCCTGATATACCTGCATAAACAAAAATTTTTTCTGCATTTAATTGGTAGCAAACTGTTTAAGCTAAATCTTTAGGGAATTTCATGCAATTTAAGTAGGGGAATCATTATATGATGCTTAAAATGATAGCTTACGGCAACTGAAAACTTGAGGCAGTTTGGTATTTGGTACAGCTTAATGTAGACTGAACAGCCAATATATTCGGCTTAATGCTTAAACCGAAATTATGGCCGACAATCTTGATGAGCGATTTTGACTTCTTCATTTTTTGAAACGTCCAAATGTACTGAACTCATTAAGATAAGACACGAATATAACAAATATTAAAAGAAATATTGGTTCACTGCATGAATATGAATTGGATCTTCTGTTAATTTTTTATGGAGCAAGTATTTTTCTTTAATCTTAATGTGACCGTTTACAAAAATAAGCAATATTTTAAAATTATATATTTAAAATTAATAATCATTTTTAAAATTAAATTAAATATTTTAAAATTAAGCGAGTATTGTTAAATTCTTAATATGAAAGGATTTCTCCTGCGTATCTCATAGTGATAAAGAATATTATTCTCTCCTCATCTCTTTATTATTATCTCTTTATCTCTTTCTTATTAATACTTTTTTTAATTGTTGAATATGAATAGAGAAACAATTTGTCTCCGATAAAAAAGCATTCAAAAAACGAATGAAATCCATTTAGAAAAAAATTAGCTATAAAGATACCAAAATTATTTTTTAATTAATTATTAATTAATTATTTTAATATTAATATTATTTTAATATTACTTTGCCTTTTTTTACAATTTTACAATTTTAATATAAAAATACAAATAAAACAAATAAACATATAAAAATTATTATGGAAAGTAGACAATGGATAATTTTCAGAATTCGATAAACGCAACTCAGGCAAATGCAACATCAAACGACTGCAAGAATTCTATGAATGCGTTCATACCATAATAAATATTTCGTTTTTTCTGCAATTATTGACTCTAAAATTTTCGTTTATAGCTTTTCATGATTGATTAACGCATCTTTTAAAAATCCTTTATAATCCTTTATATATTTTCTATTTGATTAGTTCCTTTTTATCGTATAATCTTGTTTCAGCGAAAAACGAATGCTTAAATGAAAGTCGTTGTGCTCAGCTGATAATTATTGTATTTGCTTATATTTGCATTTCAGTCCACTATAAATTTCTGTTTTTAACGAAAAAATTATTATTTATCGAAATTGCTTCAGTGATTGATAGTATTATTATTATTATTATTATTATTATTATTAATTCTCTTATACAAGTAGATGGTCATTAATCCTGGCATATAAAATATGCATGCATATAAATTTTATTAACATGCATACAAACCATCTTGGTCATAACATTTATTTCTGCCATAATTTTATATATTTTTGGTATTTTTGTTGTCAATTTTTTTTAGATTATTGCAACTTA